ATAATAATAATAATAATAATAATAATAATAATAATAATAATAATAATAGTAATAATAACTGTGATAGGAGTTATAGATTTTATATAATACAAATATAAATACAGAGTGATTAAAAACTCAACAAAGACAACATACGAGTATAATATTATAATATATTATACGCAATCATTAAATAATATTAGGTATACATTTGGTATCAATCGATCAATTTAATATTCATGTCCGTCGGGTTATTTGGATTATTTTGGTTTTCCTTTTATGATTCAAGTTAATTATATTAAGTAACATATCGGATTGGAACACAGTGCACATTTGCGTATTAATCATGTCAACTTAATCGAAATAATATCCATGCAAATGTGATGATCACCCATAGTGAATGTAGCCTACCACATCGATTGCTACCGCCATGTTGCATCGCGGCTGGAGTTTCTCCTAAACACAAAATACACACATAAATAATATTATATGTTTGAACACATAAATTTTCCCAATCAATTTTTGGGATAAAGTATTTATTTTTTTCAAACGTAAAGTTACACTTCAATCAGAAAAAACATTATTTTTTTATTTTAAAAATCACATGCGTGTTATGCAGAAACGATTAAATATATATGAAAAAAGTTTGTGATACGATTTTTATATTAAAGTTTTTATTATATATACCATATAAATTACGTAGTTCATTTTGCGTTCCTAAATTACCGAAGACATTATTGTGGCAGGTACACATAAAGCCTGGTACATTGTAGTATTATAGTTATATTAATAAATGTTTAGTTTAGTAGGTCTCTTCACAACAAACAGAAAATTTTTCACTAAATACTTAACTTATTTTTAAAATTTTCTCTATTTTAGATCTCAGAGCGATGTCAAGACAACCAACAGAAATCATGAGTAATCTAATTTGTAATTTAGTTATTTCTAGAGTATGATAATAAATACTCAATTGATTTCACTAATATATTTTATAGATAAATTATCATATTGGTATATCAAAATATCATTACACCGTTTGACATTTTTTACATCATGAACGGCACATGAAATAAAATATTTTGGAATCTGTCAAATATTAAAATATGAAACTATGTCAAAATGATTATAGGGAAAAATAAAAAGATATTAAAAATTACATACTACAAATTATTTTGTATAAAAGTAATTAATGATTAATGTTATATATTTGTTTATGCAGTAATATTTAAGATGATTGCGTATTTACTATAGCAATAAACGAAAAATACTGGCAATGGAAATTAAAATATTGGATGTTTTACATTTATTTTAGTCGGTTCAATAATTTAATTAATTAATTTTTAAATAATACTAAGGTAAAAAAAAATATGAATGACTTAACGGTAATTAATACAAAGACAGTACAAGGTTTCAACTTGCATAATGTTGTTGGAACGAATTCATGTCAATTGATGTGGATGCGTTTGGAAATATTTAGTTTTGTTAAAAAACTTTTATTTGACGTCTGCTGTTAAAAATAGGGACTTAAAATTGAGTTATAGTATTTTTCTCAGACGTTTTTAAAATTACGTGGAAAGCTCACAGACTAACTTATATACATATATAAGTGAGGGTATTATTTTCCTAGAACTTTTTATAAAATTAGAAAGAAAAGCATTGAATAAAAATACAAACATATTATTACGAATATTTAAAAAAATAGGCTAGTGAGTACCATCTATATTAGGTTTTGAGTAGGCCACTATTATGGATGTATTGAATTTGAATTTAAGATTATATAATTGTACACAAAAAAAAGATCCTGAGCGGAAATGGTTTGTTAGCGTATATTACAGAGTATATTTTATGATATAGATCTTAAGGTAATTTATTTTAATTTTAGCAATACAGTATATTGATATAATTTTCTCTGAAAATATTGTACTTAATTATTTTATTATATTATTAATATTAAATTATTATAATAATATATTTTTATTCCAAATTATATCAAATAATTTAACTTTGAATTTAATAATATCTTTCTGTAAATACTGTAAATTAGTAAAAACAGGTTCATATTATAAATAAAGTATATCTTAAAAATATTCAAAAATGTCATTGATTATAGTTTAAATTTAATAAAAAGTAATTGAAACCGTTATTCATTGTTAAAATGCGTAAATTTGTTTAAATTTTAACTTCTTCAAATGCCTTTAAAAAATAATTTTGCTTGTATATTTTTATTTTTTTTTTAAATTTTTGTATCAAATATTTGAGTGGAAATCATATAACGTTTTTAAACCTTAGCTATACAATTTAAAGGTTTCATATAATTTTTGCGATAAAATATTTGTAATTTGTTATTTTTGTTTAAATTGCATAAAAAAAAATTGTGACCATGTACGTATTTTTAATTTTATACAGGAATAAGAACAAACGATGTGAGCTTTTGTATTAAATTATTAAGAATTTTTCTTCATTGAATATTTTTTTTATTGAAATTTATAGGAAAAATTACCTGATTTGCTAATAGATTTAGGTAAGGTTGAACCATTTTTTTTTTTACTATTTATCGTAAATACAGAAACACATAAAAAACAAACACATACACAGCGTTGTGAAATCAATAAATTCATTGTTCCGCCCAGAATCTAAATTGAAAATATTAAATTTATATCAATTAAATTATTTTTGTATATCATTTTTCAATAATAGTCGCTCCATGTGAAATATTTAAGATATTTACCTATTTAGATAAAGTGTTTAAATATATGTTTAAATAATGCAAATCAAAATTCAATAACGGATATCTCTTTTTTTTTTTTAATATAATGTGTGAGCTACATAATCTGCATTAAGTAATATATTATGCATGATTCAGGTTCTTCACATCTTAATATACTTGATATTTATGCATTTTGAACTTTTTGCAATGTGCTCCCTAAACTTAATGTAAAATTGTTATTGATTCTAGTAATTTCCGTATAATCTGTTATTCCACCAAAGTCGTTAAAATAATCTGGTATTTTATTTTTACTGTAATACAGAATAAAATGCTTAGTACTTAGATTTAATAAGTAGTAAATACATAAACAGTTTTTAATAGTTTAAAGAATAACTTTAAATTTGAAATATGCACAAATATAAATAAATATTTAATTAATAAGCAAAATTTGGGTAAAATTATAAAATTAGTTTGTGGGTGGACTTGTAAGTTTCTATTTAAAACCATAATGTCCGGTATAATACTTGAAACAACTATGCACAAGCTTTCTTCTGAATTCTTTTAGAAATTAATAAGTTGTGATATATTACTAAATTTTATTATTTGATTTTGTGAAAATGTAGTTTCACACAAATATGTTGATGTAAATAAAATTATTTTAGCAAACGTGAATTTTTAAATTAGGTAATAGATATATTACCTGTCGTATTTTTGACGGTTATAACTAAGTTATTTTTTATGAAAATTGGTTTTAAAAGTGGAGTCCACTCTAACTGTAATTAGTTCGATTAATTATTAATTCTTCTATAAGGAGTTTATCGTTTAACATGTTTGAATACTTATATTTAAGAAAAATAAATAAATAATAATAGCTTATCAATTTTGTTCTTATGATTTATTTTTTAAAAAGATTGACATTTTCTTTTGTTGTTTAGGATGAACAATATTAAAATATATATTTCATTTTATTTTGAATCGTTTGAAAGTCTGATTAAACATATAACTGATATAACAAATATGAATCGTTCATCGTTAAATACTAAACATAATGAAATCAAATTTTATATATTTTGAAATGTCCTTAAAATTTTTTGTTGGAAATTCAAAATTATTTTTAGTAGGTAGTTTCCCTGGACATGATTCTACGGCAAGTTAGTGAATATTCCTGTACTAATAAATTTCACAAATAAAACGAAGGTGTGATAAATGTATGTGCATGGAGTGTATCGACAGTGTATTAAAATTTATGAATTAAAATAAATTTCGATGACACAAAAATATGATGAATTATGTTATACTGGGATAGTTATACATGTACAGAAATGAGTTACTACAATTAGCATTCATTACAATATATAATATATATTTTATTAATTTATAAAGTGAAATGCTGGGTTTATGACGAAATTTAAATGTGATTATAAAGTTAAAGTGTATTTTATTTGTGCGAGTTATTTTAATTTTTATTAATAATTTAATACTTAAATATTTACTAACCATTTAATACGTGTACTGTAACTGATGTGCTAGCTATGTCAGTTAGTGAACAAGTGTATTTTCCCGAGTCAGAAGTTTGTGCGTTGGCAATAAAAAGTCTGCTCTTTGCGCCATTGGTCAGTATATCGGTTTTCACGCTGAAAAGTAGAAAAAATCTATTTTTATTAACAATTCGAACAAATTAAAGTATTTTATTAACCTAACATATCTTAGAAAATAAAAATGTTACAAAGATATTCCACTTTATAACCGGAGGAATTATGCAAATTTGTCATTTTTAATATTGATACAGATTACGGATTATAATAATAAATTATTATGAAAATAAACTTTTATTCTTTGAGTTTGTAATTTGTAATTGATTTTATTTAAATTAATGATTTAATAGGTATACGATTTAATTTAATTTTTATTTAAAAATAGGAAATATGATATTATTATTTTTATTGCAATACTTGCATTTTATTATAATATTTCTATGTGTCCATATAGTGTAGGTAAGAAAAAAATCTAAAACATCTAAATTACCTATATGTTTAATAATTTAGATTAAATTAAGAATATTTTGTGTGGAGACTATTATCTTAATCACATTAAGCTAACTATCAAAGTAGTATGATAGTATACAAATCTATGTATATTATAATTTCGTAAATACGATTTCATACAATTACCTAGTACATTATTTAATTTTCTTTAGATTTGATTTAAAATTTTAAATAGTGTTTATATATTTATATATATATATATATTTAGTAAAGAATACACACCAAATTAGACAGAGGAAATTTTCACAGTTTCGAAAACTTTACATACAAAACCGTTAACTTATAACTAAAATCGTTTAAAATTTAAAAATGTATAAAAAAATTATTCCTCGATTCCAAATTATATATTTTATTATTCATAAAATCATTTTAACATATTTTATAATCATGAACTTGAGCGTTCGAAATAATTTTATGTAGTTAAAAACATTTTTTCAGTATAATGATGCCATTTTTTTGTCTGCTAAGTTATATTGAGAGAAGGTAGAACCACACAGTGGACGACATATGGTAATTATAACGAACTACAAATAGAATATTAATAGAGTCAATTTATTTTTGTGAAAAACATACCGAATAAATGAAAATTTATTATAATAGTTATTTAAAATAAACTGTACATATCTTAAAATAAAAACCCAATAGTAATAGATAATGGAGTGAGTACTCTATTGAATATGTTGTATAGGTTTAGAGATCAATTTTTAAGTATAATTTTTTATATTAACAACTATAAGATAAATTATATAAAAACCACAAAAGCAGTAATTATTACCATGAACTCATAAATTGTTTGGAGAATGATTAAAATGGAATTTTTGTGTAATAACGTTACGCTTATTTTACATTCAATGATTTTACAATAGAATATTATGTACCTATATACAGTGTAAACATCAAATAAAGAGAGTTTAATTTTAATGATTTTATATTATGTGACTGCATATATAGAAATAGTAGAATATATTTTTATACTGATTAAATTAAATTTTAGTTTAATTTATACAGGCTTGCTTTCATTCTTTAATTGCTCAAGTGAATATGAGTGTTAACTGTTAATAAATAATTTAAAACAATGTGATGTATTGTTACAACTATTAACACTATAAAGTGTTTAATATACTATATATTTGATTTGATATATTTATAATGAAACATATCGATTATTTTAGGAAATTATTTTTGAATAATTATACTTTATGATGTATAGTAATATATACGTTTATTTAATAGATCTATATAGCTCGTATAGAAATCTCACGTAAAACGAACAGAAATGTTTTTACTGAAATATTACATTCTGGAGTATGACTATGAATAAATTTTGGTATGGCATTTCATATTTTGCAAATAATATGACGATTAATATTCTTATCGTCTATATAAAATAAGTGTTCATAAAAAAAAAAAAAAATTGCTGAATGTCAATTTTTATACACATATTATAATATTGTGAGCATATAAATAATAACTAATAATATTCATTTTGGCGCATCGTCAAGTCTTATTATTATAGGTAACATATATATATTTTTAAAATGTATTGAGAGTATGTATATTTGTCATACTTTGTGAAATTTATGCAGTTCAATTTTTGTGATGATTTTCTTTTTCTGAGCTCATATTTGTGGTTTAGAAAATAATTTTTTCTCTTTTATTGTATTTTGAGTATGAAATAAAACATGGTTTAAAAAATGTATCACAATGACTGATTTTATAATATCTATTTGAAACATTTCTAAACATTTTTAGTCACATTGAAATTTTAAGTGTGAAAAATTTCAAAATTAATGATTATATTGTGATTTTTTTTTTAAATTACGTTATTGATACACAAAAAAATGTATCATTCATTCAATGAAAGTATGGTTTCAGTATATAACTATGTGTAATAATTAGAGTTCTTACTTTCACGTTAAAACTTTTTTATGTAAAAATAATGGTTGTGTGGTTTTTATTTGTTATTTAATTTGAATAAAGTTAAACTCATACTATTCACTTTAATTTTTTTTCATATTGTACATTAGAATTAATTAGGGTTAGGCAAATATATAAAAATAATATTTTTTATGGTATTCAATTTACTTTCAATTAGCTGATATTTATTACTTTTGCGTGGGTTGTTTAATGGTTTTATTTTTTTTCTCTAAAAATATAAAGATCTATGAAAAAATTAAAAAGATTTTTTTCAATATTTTTTCTTTGAATCAATACAATTTATATTTTTGCGAATTCAGTTGTATTTAAATCTCAAACTAATTTTTTTTATCTGTTGTTCTGTTTGTGAAGTGTTAAATATTTTAGTTTATACTGTAAATACGAATTCGACATTTTGAATTAAAATACAACTGTGATTAAGTTCAGGGTGAAATGAGGTTGTATAGATCATTGATTTGTTAAAGATCTTTCCTCATTTTGATTAAACATCGTGCGTATGGAAGAATTTTAATTTTAAATCCAAGTATTAATTACATTTGATATTCTTAACTCTACATTTTTATCCCAAGTAATAATGTCACTCGTAGAATTTAAACTATATAAATCCCCAATAAGTCCTGCTTGACAAGTATACTCGTACGTGAGATTAAATACCTAATTTAATACTTTTCATGTCCAGACCATTGTGCAGGATTTATGATAAGTCTCACTCCAAAATGTTCTTTTCTTATGTTTTCCATCGTCGTTTTATTTTATTTCACAAACTAAATGCTAGTGTAGTAAATGAATTAGCAATCTCTGACAACCGACACTTTCATCGTAGGCTCAATACTTACTTCAATCACTTAACCACAACGATGTCTTCAAACTTTCACTTGTGTTCTTAGACATATAAGTGGAATAGAAACTTACCAACAATAATTATACTGTGATGTATTATAAACAATTAGAGGCATATATAATTTAATATTTTAATTTACTAACGGGGCATAGTTGTGTAGAAAATACTACAGTTTCCCAACAAAACCCGATTTTACACTATATTATAGTATATCAAAATAGCACTATTATTATGAATGATATTTATAAACTTTGAATTTAAGGATTGAAAATCTTTTCATCAAACAGTTATTTCGAATTTTAGCTTAATAATTATAATAATTATTGTATTTAATATTATTGTTATTATCAATTAGATAATATATGATACGTTTAAAAAAAAACATTTTTTAGTTTTTTTTTTATACTTTTAAAAGTCACACTAAACATTTTACGGAAATAGGTATTCTATAGAATTTACACTAATATATAAACTGTTTATTAGTTGTTACAAAATATATATGCCTAGAATGTAATGTAGGACTATATTGTCTAAAATATTTTTCATTTTCTCAATACTTGATAGTTTGAGACATTTGAAAATAATTCTTATTGTTGGATGTCGGTTTAAATTTGTTTCAATATATTAAATTACGCTTAACTTAGAACCATTGTCCTGGCTTTATTAATTTAATTTTTTTATATTATCGGTAAATGGTTTCTTAGTACGATACATTATTTAAAATGCAAAACGTGGACATTTCGTATTATTATATACATGTATGGCAGAGTCTTGATATTCCAGAATTACGCCAGTTCCGGTAATTTCAATTATAATCCAGCATATTTTACCACATGCAGCTTTAATTTTATTTTTGGGCTTTTGCTTTAATAATTCAATACAATTGAATCTTTCGATAATACTTTAGGAATTTAAAATAAAATTATTAACTTGTTGGTGATATTGATTACATCACAATTCAATACAAGTGTAATGAAAATAAATAAATAAAATTTTTTTCTTGATTTCTATTTAAATATATTTTTTTTGATAATATGATAGTATTATTGAATGGGGCAATGAGTTGGATTAACAAGACTACTGTGATTGCATAGAAATACATAGTATTAACTATATTATTTAATATAATATACGTCTGGAAACATGACAGAAATGTTATGAAGTACAATGTTAAAAATATATATATATATAACATAAATAAGTCATGATAAATAATATTATGAAATATTTGTTATTAAAATGTATACTGAATAAGATTTAAAAAATGAAAAACTAAAAGTATAGAATGGTTATTTACAGGATTGTATACTTATAACTGAAACTATCTTCCTATTTGAAAGGTAAGATATTTAGATACTAAATAAGAAATAACGTTTAAATGGTATCAAAATTTATAATATTATCAATACAATTTGTCATGTATGAGTTGTAATGTTCAATCGTACAAAAAGACTAAAATTTGTAATATTGACAATAATTATATTATTTATATCATAACAATATTATTACGGTTTAATTTTTTCATAATGATTTAAAAAAAATATGGCATTAATATTTATTGTTTGTAGTTTGTATATAGGTATATTTATAATTTTAGTTTATTATTATTTTATATAATTTGTCATTATTATTACGTAAATTTGGCATTTTTTGATTACTATTTTTAGCATTTAACGATTATTTATTAATATTTTGTGTTAAGATTGCCTCATCATTTTTGATAATCGTTTATTCATGATATTTATTTTATTATAAAATGTCATGATATAGATATTAATTTAATATTGTTTGTCTTTATTAAATGATTTTA